ATTTGAGAGGGAGAGAATGAGAGAGAGAGAACACATGAGAGGGGGGAGGGTCAGAGGACGAAGCAGACTCCCCGCCGACCGGGACTCCAGGATCATGACCTGAGCTGAAGGCAGTCGCCCAACCGACTGAGCCACCCAGGCGCCCGACAAGATCTCATTTAATTCTCGAAGCAGCCCTCAGAGGTAGATAGTATTCTCACCCCCGTTTTAGACATGAGGAAACTGAGGCCCAGAGGGACTAAACGATCTGATCCAGGTCCCATAGTTTTAAGTGGCGGAGCTCTGGGGCTGTCAGCTGTCCTCGCCCTGAGGGGCTGAAGCTGAAGGGGCTGACGGAAGGGAATCTTTCTCTTCCCTCTGTGCTGTTGTCACTTAGAGGGGCCTCGGGGTAGAGGTGCCTCAGCCCCTAAGTGCTGCAGGATGTAGTGATGCTTCTTCTCTTCAGGGTTTGGCTTTCACAAGTGTCCAGTCCCGATGAATTCAGAATAACCCCTGAGCCCCAAGTCTGGCCCCTTCTCCCTTTGGCTGAGTTCTCTCCTCAGGCCTCTGCCAAGACCTCTTAAAATGGAGTTTGGGGCCTGGGGACCAGCACCCTCCTTGTACGCCCAGGCTGGCTGGACTGGAGCCCCAGTAGAGGGTTTAGTCTGGACTTAGACTGATTGATGAGATCCTAAGAAAAAAAGCCCCAAGGCAGCTCCAGCACATATCAGCCGTGGCTTTTTCTGAGGATGGGTGTTTCATCCATGTGTTTATCTGCATATTCTCTTTTCTTCAATAAACATGCATTAGTTTTTTTCAATACTAGTTATAAGAAAAGTTTCAAATGAGGAAAATTTGGTTGTAAATACTTTGGGGAAATCAGCCTAATACAGATGTCCCTCATTGGACATGCAATTTAAAAAATTATTACCCATACTAGCCACAAATCAAACCGCCTGAATTCCAATCTCCTTGCTACCAGTTAGTAACTGTGACTCCTCGCAAGTTACTTAACCTCCATAAAAACGGGGATCATAGTAGTACTTTCCTTGTACTATTAACAGACGCTTTGCAGTTGCAGCCGCTGTCTGTGCTCCGGGGGTCCTGTTTAATCACTTAAGCCTCAGCACAAGTCTGTGCGGGCAGGTACCGACGCTATCCCCATTTTACAGCTGGGGCCACTGAGGGTGCTCTGCCTGCGAACAGATAAATGGGATTTGAGCCCAGGCAGCCGAACGCCAGAAGCTACCTTCAAGCTGCTTGTCTAGAGCTGCCCCTCGGAAAGGGCTGTTGCGGTACATGGTAAAACGCTTTAAGGTGCTTAGCAAAAGCCTGGCACTTAATAAGTGCTCACTTAAGTTTCCTGCGGTCACATTAATATTCGGTGTTTTACGTTTGTCATAAAACTAACACGCATACAAGGCGACTTAATTCCGCAGAAAATCACAGAGCCGCCTGAAGCCGGCGGACCCTGCGCGGGGGTCGGGGCGGGACGCGGACCGGGGCGCCGAGCGGGCGCCCCCCCGCGGCGAGGGCAGGCGGGCGGGAAGCCGGGGTGGCCGGCGCGCGGGGCCGCCCGTCGGGGCCCGGGGGCGGGGTCGGGGAGGCTCCGCCCAGCGGTCACCTGCGGCAGGTGGAGCGCGCGGCGCCGGGCGCTCGGCCATGTCTGCGGAGAGCGCAGGGCCGGGGTCGGCGCCGCTGTGCCCCGAGCACGGCCAGGCTCTGAGCTGGTTCTGCTGCTCCGAGCGACGGCCCGTGTGCGCCGCCTGCGCGGGGCTGGGCGGCCGCTGCCGGGGGCACCGCATCCGCCGGGCGGAGGAGCGCGCGGAAGAGCTGCGGGTGAGCGGCCGGGGGCGCCGGAAGGCGGGGGGGCGCCGGGGGGAGGGGACACCGGGGTGGCGTGCCGAGAGGGACCCGGCGGGGACCTGGCGGCCGGTCCAGGTGGCACTGGCCGTGGAACTAGGCGGTTAAGGGTGTGGCCCCCGGAGTCGTGGGGACCTGAGTTCGAATCCCGCCTCCTCCCCACCTGCCTCGCAGTCTCGTCTCTGGGCCTCGGCGCCCTCATCTGTGGTTTGAGGGCAACACTAGCGCGCGTTTATTGGGGGTGTTGTGCGAGAGACGTAAGATAATGGGCGAAATGCTCTTTAGTCTACCACACAGTGGCGGCTCGAGCTGCCCACTCTTCCTTCGTTGCTTTGTTGGGGGGGTGAGAGCCGGGCCTGGCCTTGGGCAGTATGCGGCCACACTGCTCCAGTTGCCGGGGACTCCGTGTCCCACGTCCCGCCCCATGGAAGCTGGCCCGAGATAAAAGCTGGCCCTCCTCCCTCCTCAACCCCTGGGCTCAAAGCCCCTCCCCTCGTCCACCCTTCGGGCTTCCTGGTGAGGTGATTTCTTTTCCCTTTGGGGTTGGCCCTGACTGTACTCCAAACTGGTTCCACCTGGGTAAACGGAGGGGGCGGGTAGGATCTCAAGAGGTTCCTGCTGGATCTCTTCACCTAGAGTTCCTCCCCATCTCCACGCCAGTTTAGCTCCACGCTGGTCACCTTCATCACCACCCGCCCTTGGTCTGAAACTGGGGAGTCGAAGTTGCCCTGGGTCTTCCTCCCTCCTTCCACCCTAGTTGTGGTCCCCCGGGGATTTCCTTGCCATTTGATTAAGCCGCTTTATTTCCCCAACCTCACCAGTGCTCTGCCCACCTGTGAGGCTTGAGGGCTCTGGCTAGGGACTCAGACTGCAGGGGAATAAACACACGTGACTGGCCCAGAGGGATTCACTTACTCAGTGACACCTGAAAGCTCCTGATTGGCCCTACCTGTCACCACTATCCATCATCAGTAGTGGCGATGAAAATAACTTGGGTAATGTGGTGTAATAAACTTTCATAATGGATGGAAACTTTGTGAGCGCCAAAGCACTTCAATATCCATCATCTCACTCCATCCAGACCAAACTTTTGAAGTGATAGGCAACTTCCGTTTTACAGATGAGCAAACTGAGGCCCAAAACAGGGCGGTAACTCCTCCGAGGTTTCTAATATTCAGGAGCTGGACCAAGGGAGTCATTGACTTGCTCAGAGAAAACCACCTCTTAGCCTCAGTGGAGGGAGGAAGGGGTGCTAATGGGTGTGAGAATTAAATAAAAACCTTAAAAAAAGAAGAAAAAAAGTTGCCATCAGAGCTGAATCTGAGTGGTGGAAGGAGGTGAAGGCTGGGGCAGGGTGGCAGGCCTGGTGCTTGGTTTGGAATGCAGTCTGCCCAGGGCGCCTTCCCTGAACCCTACTGATGCCCTAAGCACATTCATCTCCTTTGCCTGGAGGGAGGGGTTTCTTGCCTTCTCCCTCCAATTTTGAGTATATTATGGCATTTACACACTCCTTCCACTATCCCTCTAGCCAGGAAAGAAATTTTGGCCCAGGGCAAGATGGTTACCATTCAACAACTTCTCTCTTACCTTCCGGGTTCTTGTCCTGTAGCTTTTTGGAAGTTAGGCTCGGTTTCCTCAGGCCTCTGGTGTTTGCTGATCACAGCTTCATCCCAGCCAGCTCAGTTCTTTCACTTAGTATTTGGACCAGCGAAGCGTCAGATGAATTCCTGACTGTGGGGCGGGAAGGATTTGCAAGGGCTTCCTGGAAGAGGCTGAGTTGCCTTTGGGCAGATGGAACTGGGACAGAGCTGAAGCAATGCAGGAGCTGTTGGCTAGGAAGGAGTCCAAGTACCTGGAGAAATGGAGTGGAAAAGCAGGGGCCTGGCAGGTCACTTCTCCGTGGGCTCCAGTTCTTCATTTCTAAAAGTCTCCGCTGCTCTCCTGGGGGACGCTCATAGCTCTGGCCGATGTGAACCACTGAACCTCTTATGGTCACAGAAGTAGATGTTCACTCATTGAACAAATATTTATCCAGGGCCTCTATGTGTAGGAGGAACTTTCTTCTAGGTAGTGGCCCATAGCGAACAAGTCAAAGTCATGGTGCTCATGTTCCAGTGGTGGGGGGAGAGATACAAAACAAGTAAACACACCCAGAATGTACAGGCAGAGGAGTGACAAATGCAAGGGAGAAAAATAAAGCAAAGTAAGAGAATGGGCTGTGGGGATGGTCGGGGAGGGCTTCTGAGGCGGTGACCCTGAATGGAGTGGGGGAGGGGACTTGTACGGCTGGCCGCAGAGGAAGGAACAGGTGCAAAGCCGCTGTTGTCAGGACGAGTTTGGTGTGTTTATGGGACAGAAAGAAGGCCAGAGTGGAGAGTGCTAGGAGGTGGCTTCGGAGCAATAGGCAGAGTCCCATCAGACAGTCCCTTGTTGGCTGAAGTGGGAAGCTTGATCTCCCTGTGTGTGTGCTGGAAAGCTGTTGGAGGAGTTTGAGCAGGGACGTGAGCTGACCTAACCTCCTGACACAAGGTGGTCGTGGCTCACTGTAGGGGCGAATAGCAAGAGTGCAGGTGACCAGAAGTGGCCAGAGGAGAGAGAGAGAGACTTTGGAGTCAGGGCTGATAGGACTCACTGAGGGATTAGATACATGCGGGGTTGGAGAGTAACCCCAGGGGTTTGGGTTGGGGTAATGAGGTTGATGATTGCTGGTACTGTTTAATGAATGGGGATAACTTAGGGAAGGGCAGTTTGAGAAGCCGTGTTCTTTCCACTCAGGTGTGGAGAGCCAGGGAGCTGGGTCAGAGGGAACGCTGAGAGCATATGCAGGAAAGTGATTATGATGATGGGCCACCGAATTTAGGAGAAGGAGGGAACTGAGGCCACAAAGTGGGTGATAGACACGGAAAAGTGGTAAGACTAGTGTATGAGCGGCTTCAGCTGAGCCGAAGAACAGTTGGACTGGAGAATCTAGAGTTAGTAGTCTGGAAGGATGGAAGTGGTGGACAGGGTGTGGGCCCCTTGAAATGAAGATTTGGGAGGTGCTATAGTTTTCAGTAATAACGAGGTCTGGGATGTGAGTGGCTGAGGGGGGATATCATGGGGATGGAGTGAATGGATCAACGTGGATCGAGACGCCATAGGTGTCCTTTATATTGCAGAACAAGATTGTGGACCAGTGTGAGCGGCTGCAGTTCCACAGTGCCAGCATCACCAGATATGTGGCTGAGGTCCTGCCAGGGAAGAACCAGAGAGCAGTGGTAGGTAGCTCTCCTTCCTCTCTGCTCTGGACCCCTCCTAGGACAAGACTCCAGCCTTAGGAGCATGGACCAGTCTGGGATCCCTTCCCAACCTCACAGACTCACAGTGCTCCTAGCAAAGGCAGATGCCCAGGAAGGACGGTTTCCCATCTCTCGGAGCTGGGAGTTTTACCATCTGGGCAGAGAGGACTATTCCCAGTACCACACTGGGGCAAATACTGCTGGAAAATGACTTTCTTGGGGTAAAGGATCAGAAAGGGTAGCATTCTTCCACCATCTAAGTATTTCGTGGTCAGCCCCTGAATTATAAAATAACCTCTGGACTTTGACGTGGAGTGTTCTTTATGACAATCTTATCCCTGTTTACAGATGGGGAAGTGGGTCGCCTAGAGGGTGATTGACTTGCCCAAGGTCCACAGCCTCCTGCCAGAATCAGATCCAGGACCTGGATCTTCTGACTCCCAGGCCAGTGCTCCTTCGGCTACCCGCCACTGCTGATCCTTTAGCCAGTTGCCCCCATTGCCGATGCTCGCAGGTGTGCCCCTCACGGGTCGGGGCTATGAATTTCTTTCTGTACATCCCCTCCTTCCTTCACCAACGTGGACAATGGAGCAGGCTTTGCATGGTCTTAGTCAAGGTTCTTTTGATTGTGTAGAACGAAACCCAGTTGAACTAGTTTGCGCAAAAACAGGGAATTTCCCAGCAGGATACAGAAGCCTCTCAGAACCTGAAGGGGACAAGAACCAGGAAAGAAGATGCTGCCAGGAGGCCAGGCAGCTATTCTGTGTCTGTTCCTGCCTCTCTTAGCATGATGGTTCCTCTGTCTCTCTCTCTCTCTTTTTCTTTATCCTTTTTATTTTCTCATCTTGACTGCACTGGCTAGGACCTCAGTACAGTGTTGAATAGAAGCAAGTGTAGCAGATGCCGACTGCAAGGAGCGTACTCACAGCATTTCACCATTTATGTATGTATTTAACAAATCTGTTGAGTACCCATCACATGCCAAGCACCATTGTTCTATGTGCTAGAGATTCCACAGTGAACAAAACATATGGAAATTCCTGTTTCCGTGAAAATTACATCATTGGCCAGGGGGTGGGGGGGTTGGGGGGAAGGCCAATAATTAAATACACCCTATGTCATAAGGTCAAAGGTGCTATGGAGAAGTTTAACACAGGAAGGAGGACGTTCCTTTGTTGAGAACGGGGGCGGGGGGGTTGCAATTGCATATGCTGTGGTCAGGAATGACCTAATTAAGTATTGATATTTGCACAAAATTTACAGAAGGTGAGGGAATGGACCAGATATCTGGGCGAAGAGTTCTAGAAAGAGGGAATGGCAAGTGCAAAAGCCCTAAGGTAGGAGCAGTGAATGAGATAGGAGTCAAACTGAGTGTTGTGTCCACATAAGAGGTTTCAAAGAGGTGGGATGTCAAATGTTGCAGAGGTTAAGTAAGGTGAGAAATGAGAGTGGGCCATTGGATTTAGTAACATGTTCATCACTGGAGATTGTGATGGGATGGGGAGTGTTTTGTAGAGTGGTGAGGTGGAAGCCTGATCAGAGTGGGTTTCAGAGAGAACAGAAGAGTAATTTGGGAGAGTTGGCTCAGCCAACCCTTGAGGACCTCTGCTGTAAGAAGGGAGCTGAGAAATGGGTTGATAGTGGAGGGGGATATGAGATCAAGAGGGTATTTTATTTTTAAGATGCAGAAATTACTCTCTGTGTGCTGGTAGGCATTATCTGGTAGAGAGGGGAAAATTAATGGTGAGGGAGAAATGGGGGTAACCAGGTATAGCAAGGTGGGGTATAGGCTAACAAATGGAAAGTTAGCCGTAGGTAAGAGCATGAGCTTTCATCCGCAGAAACAGGGAAGGCAGAGTATGGGGTGCAGGTGCAGGTGGATGCGTAGGTGATGGACAGAGCTTGTGTAATTCTCTTCTGATTGCTTCTATTTTCCATTATTTATCACATTTGCTGTAGGTTCTTAATGATGCTGTTTGTCAGTTTATAGATATGCTTTGTCCCCTATCAATCTGTTAACATGGTAATACATTAATAAGAGTTTCTAATGCTAGGGACACCTGGGTGGCTCAGTCGATTAAGCATCTGCCTTCGGCTCGGGTCATGATTCCAGGGGCTTGGGATCAAGTCCCAGGTCAGGCTCCATGCTCAGCGGGGAGCCTGCTTCTCCCTCTCCCTCTCCCTCTGCCTGCCGCACCCCCTGCTTGTGTTCTCTATCTTTCTCTATGTCAAATAAATAAATAAAATCTAAAAAAAAAAAAGAGTTTCTAATGCTAAACCATCCTGAATTCCTGGGGAAAACCAAGTAAGCTTGATCATATGTATTTTTTTTTTTTACTTTAAATTTTGAGATAATTGTAGATTCACGTATAGTTGTAAGAAATAATCATAGAGCCATATCCCCTGTACCCTTCGTCCAGTTTCCCCCAATGATAACATGTTACCTAACTATATAGTACAGTATCATAGCCGGGACATTGACATCCATACAACCTACCTTATGCACATTTCACCAGTTTAACATGCGCTCATTTGTGTGTGTGTGTATTTAGTTCTGTGCGGTTTTATCACATGTATAGATTTGTGTGACTTCTCCCACAACCAAGATACAGAGCAGTTCTATCATAAGGATCCCTCGTGCTACCCTTTTATCATCGAGACCCCCTCCTCTCCTTCTCCTTGTATCGTTATACAAAATTTCTGAGGTTGGATTGCTAATCTTAGTTTGGGGTTTTGTGTGTATGTGTTTAAGGATTTTTGTGTCTATACTCAGGAGTGAGATTAGCCTATGAATTTCATTTCTTGTATAGTCCTTATCAGATTTTGGTATTGAGGTTCTATAAATCTTATTAAATGAATTGGGAACTCTCTGTTTTCACCGGAGGTATTTGTGTTAAGATTGGAATTATTGGGCGCCTGGGTGGCTCAGCTGGTTAAGCGACTGCCTTCAGCTCAGGTCATGATCCTGGAGTCCCGGGATGGAGTCCCACATCAGGTTCCCTGCTCGGCAGGGAGTCTGCTTCTCCCTCTGACCCTCCCCCCCTCATGCTCTCTCTCTCTCATTCTCTCTCTCTCTCTCAAATAAATAAATAAAATCTTTAAAAAAAAAAAAGATTGGAATTATTTGTGCCTTGAATATTTGGTGACACCCCCTGTAAAACTATCTGGGCTTGGTGTTATTTTTTGCAGGTGGATTTTAACTACTGATTCATTTCCCACCATGAGTAAAGGATTCATTCTTTTTCTTTGGTTTTAGTAAATTTTTTCTAGATAAATTATGTACTTTGTCTCTTTTTAAATGTAATGGCATAAAGTTCTTAAATTATTTTTTTAGATATTTTATTTATTTATTTGAGAGTGAGAGTACAAGTCGGGGCGGGGAGAGGTAGAGGGAGAGGGAGAAGCATGCTCCCCACTGAGCAGGGAGCCCGACATGGGGCTCGATCCCAGGACCCTGAGATCATGACCCGAACCAAAGGCAGACGCTTAACCAACTGAGCCACCCAGGCGCCCCCCCAAGTTGTTCTTAATCTTGATTAAAGTTGCCACTGGTTTGTCTATTTTGTTAGTCTTTTCAAAGAACCAGCTTTTAGTATTTTGATCCTCTCTTTTGGATCTTTTTTTTTCAAAGTTTATTTATTTTTTTCTAGTGATCTCTATACCGTGGGGCTCGAACTCACAACACCGAGATCAAGAGTCACATGCTCTTCCGACTCAGCCAGCCAGGAGCCCCTCTTTTGTATCTTAAAAAAAAAAAAACAACTCATTATTATTTCCTCTTATCTTTTTTTAAATGATTTTATTTATTTATTTGTCAGAGAGAGAGAAAGAAAGAGCACGAGCAGGGGGAGCAGCAGGCTCCCCACTGAGCTAGGAGCCTGATGCTGGACCTGAGCCGAAGGCAGCACTTAACTGACTGAGCCACCCGGGCGTCCCTTCCTCTTTTTTTTTTTTTTTTAAGAAGCCAGGCATGGGAGTGCATATTGTATGATTCCTTTTTTTTTTTTTTAAGATTTTATTTATTTATTTGAGAGAGAGAGAGAGCACAAGCAGGCAGAGGGGCAGAGGGAGAGGGAGAAGCAGACTCCCCGCCGAGCAGGGAGCCTGATGCGGGGCTAGATCCCAGGACCCTGGGATCATGACCTGAGACGAAGGCAGACGCTTAACCGACACACCCAGGTGCCCCAGGTGTCCCTTCCTCTTATCTTTATAAATTTTTTCCTTCTAATTTTTTTAGGGGGGAGATATACACCATTGTTATTTAACTCCCTCAGCTGAACACAGTCTCTTAATTTTAGTCTGTCTGCTTTCTCAAGGTCAGCATTTAAGCCCTATATTTCCTTCTACATATTGCTCTCACAATTTCTGATGCAATATTTTTATTCAGTTATAAGTATTTTTAAATGTCCACAATGATTTATTTTACTATGTGTTGTTAGGAATAGGTTTTTAAATCTCTACATCTCCAGATGTGTGGTTTTACTTTTAAAAATTATCATTGTTATTTTTTCCACTAATTTCTCACTTCATTGTAGTCTGCATATCAGTTGTTTGAAATTTGTTGAGACTTGCTCTATGCCCTAAAACATGGTCACTTTAGGTAAATGTTTCATATTCAAATCTTCTCTATACTTACTAATTTTTTATCTGCCATATTTACTGATTGCTGGCAAGAAGCATTTATGGTTTCATATTATGCTGTGGATTTGTCTATTTTTCCATATAATTCTGTCTTTACTGGGCTCTTAAGTTTAGAGGAGTGTAAAATTCTAAAATAAATCACAAGCTGCATTCAGGGCAATAGAGTCTCCGCTCTTGATTACACCAGTTTTCAATTTCCTTTCTACATACGCTTGGACTCCAGGGGATTTCCTTTACTTAGCTGCCAGAGCAGCTTGACTTTTAAAAGGATGCTTTGGGCTATTTTTCCAGCATTTCTGTGCTTTGTTTTAGGACAGTGTTTAGTTTATTCTGGCATATCTTTGGAAAGGGAAATTTTTTTTCTCTGCTACACTTTTCTGGGAATGAATCGAGAAATGTGTTGAAATTGATTACAGTCTTGGGGCGCCTGGGTGGCTCAGTCGTTAAGTGTCTGCCTTCGGCTCAGGTCATGATCCCAGGGTCTTGGGATCGAGCCCCGCATCGGGCTCCCTGCTCCGCGGGAAGCCTGCTTCTCCCTCTCTCACTCCCCCTGCTTGTGTTCCCTCACTCGCTATGTCTCTCTCTGTCAAATAAATAAATAAAATCTTAAAAAAAAAAAAAAAAAGAAATTGATTACAGTCTTTCAGTGAGAGTGTCTGCTGCATCTTGGGCCAGGGTCTGTTCTTGGTCCTGATCACACAGTACAAACATGGCTACGGACAGCCACCCCTGTGGGCAAGGCAGCAAGGTGGGATAGAGAGAACAATAGCTAATGGTGTTGAACACTTATGTGCTGGGCTTCGTTCTGTGTACTTTGTATGTATTAACTCATTTAATCTTCCACAATAACCTCATGCTGTAGGTACTATTATTATCCTCATTTAGCAGATTAGAAAACTGAGGCATAGGGAAGATCAGTAATGTGCTCAACATCCTACAGAGAGTAAGTGGATCAGCTAAGGTTTAAATCTAGGCACTGTCTGTCTCTAAAGCCTAACTTCCTGGGACGCCTGGGTGGCTCAGTCGGTTAAGCATCTGCATTCGGCTCAGGTCATGATCTTAGGGTCCCGGGATCGAGCCTGACGTCAGGCTCCCTGCTCAGTGGGGAGCCTGCTTGTCCCTCTCCCTCTGCCCCTCCCCCTGCTTGTGCTCTGTCTCTCTCTGACAAATAAATAAATAAAATCTTTAAAATAAAATAAAGCCTAACTTCCTAACTAGTGTGTTATGTTGGCTCAGGGAACACTGAAGTTGGAGTCAGAACTAACTCCTGGGTTCACTTAGGCCATTCACTCTCTTCCTCTCCCCTGGGCAAATTGTGGGTCTCAGTTTCTTCTTCTTCTCCGAATCCGTAAACTGATAATGGAGGGTTATGTCTTCTGTAGAGGACATCACTGGGAGCTAGAGACCCCACAGTCCAGGCTTTCGGGTGGCAGTGGTCAGGGTAGGCTTCCCAGATGAAATAACTTCAAAGCTGGTGCCTGAAAGGTAAAGAGGAACGGCTACGTTTCTTCTGTAAAGCAGGGGTCGTTACCTGTACAGAGCAGGTTTGCACAGGCAGGGCACAGAGAAAGCTGCTGGCTATCCCTGACGTTCTGGCATGAAGGAGACTGTTCTACTCTCCCTTGTCTGGCAGGAGTGCAGGTGTTTCATGCAGCCTTTTGGGAGGACTGACTGTTCCGATGGCACTGGGGGAAAGGGAATCGTGTTAGACTGAGAGTCGAAAGAACTGGGTTCTAGTCCCAGCTCTGTCCCTGACTTGGCCTGTGAGCGCTACCAAGAGATTTTTGACTTGGTCGGAAGAAACTTTCTTCCTCAGTCATTCAGGAACTATTTGAGTACCTACTGTGTGCTAGGCCCCGTGCTAATTACTAGGAGACCCACATTAGCTTCACTGGAGTGGATGGCATGCCCCCTGGCATGAATAAGAATTCCACCGTGGAAGCCATTGGAATGGACAGATTTAGGAAGGAATGAGATTTTTTTCACTCAAACCTAGTCAGAATATCAACTGGACTACTGTTGGCTCGGATCCTGTTGATGGGGATGACTTTGTAGGCTCTTTCGCTCTACAATTCTGTAATTCTCTGACCCTGATCCCTTGACCTTGGTATTCTCAACTATGAAATAATTGATTCTAGTTATCTCTAGACCATGCCCACTAACCTTAACCCAGCTCTTCCATTCTGTTATCCCGGCTCTATGAGATATGACCTGGATGTCTGAATCTTATATTTCTTTACCCTAAACCATATTTGGGAACTCTTAAGGCTGGGATGGCTTAAGCACCTGTTTCTTCCATTACTGTGCCTGTGGCAGACATGGCTAATCAACCCCAGCACTCCTTCCCACTGAGCCCAAATCCTCTTAATATTGACTGGGGCTTTGCTAGGACCCGATTCTCTGTGTTACCCCTCATCAGAGCACGGCCAGCGCGGCGCGGGAACTGGTCATCCAGAGGCTAGGTGTGGTGAGGAGTCTGTGTGAGAGCGAGGAGCAGCGTTTGCTGGAACAGGTGCATGGTGAAGAAGAGCGGGCCCACCAGAGCATCCTGACACAGCGAGTCCACTGGACTGAGGCGCTGCAGAAGCTCGACGCCATCCGGACCAGCCTGGTGGGCATGCTCACCCATCTGGATGATCTCCAGCTGATTGTAAGTCAGGCAGGGGTGAGGACACAACCAGTGGACCAGACACCCCCCAAGTCTAAAACATCGAGAATGTTTATTGGTAAGAGTTGGGTGGATAAGGATAATTTGGGGAGCAGGGATGAGGCAAGGGAATAAAACTAAATGGATTTTTTTTTTGCACCTGCTAACCGTTCTTTCAGTAGTGAGCAGATATCTACTGAGTGTCTACCACGTGCTCTTGTGCCACGGGGTGGAGATACAGGACACAGCTGTTAGTGCCTCGTGGCCTTACGGAGCCGAATCCGTAAACTGATAATGGAGGGTTATGTCTTCTGTAGAGGACATCACTGGGAGCTAGAGACCCCACAGTCCAGGCTTTCGGGTGGCAGTGGTCAGGGTAGGCTTCCCAGATGAAATAACTTCAAAGCTGGTGCCTGAAAGGTAAAGGGGAACAGCTACGTTAAAGGAAGTGGAGAGCTAGAGAGAGGGTTCGGAAGTGTGCAGAGGGAGGGAATGGCCCCGGGCGGTCCTTAATCTCACCACCCAGAAACTACCGTGGTAATATTTTGGTACATATCCCTGCAAAGTACTTTCTGTAGAGATGCAGATACTTGCAGTTTTAACGGGACAATCTGACATCTGAGTAAATATGCCAAGCAGAGAAATCTGAATGTGGAACAACCGAGCTGTTCTGCAGTTCAAGTAGGGCAATTTCCATCGCTGCCCTAGATTGTGCATTGACTGAGTCACTCAGCTTCCACGGACAGAGCACATTCTGTCCCAAACGCTGGGACGGTCACAAGGGAAGATTCAGAAAGAGTCCCAGCCGTCCAGGAGCTGGCAGTCTTGGTGGGGGGTGAGGTGTTAGTAAATACGTCGTCCTGCAGTGCGGTTTGGCGAAACGCAGGATGGCACCAGGCACGGGCGACTGAGTCATTGTGAGTGCGCGGTGTGGAGGTGTGCGAAGAAGAACCCAGATAGCTTTGTTTTGGGTCTTAATGCAGGAACAGAATGCTTTATGCTAGAGTCTGTCCGTGTGGCACCCTCCATACCAGTTGAATATATTCAAATCTGGACTACCTGCTGAATTCCTGGTACCAAGCCTGACTCTGTTTTCTTTTCTCACAGCAGAAGGAGCAGGAGATTTTTGAAAGGTGAGTATAGCCCGTCATTTGCCTGGGCAAATGGAGACCATTGCCTGTAGGCCTGTAACTAGTCCGCATTCAGGTCCTTCTGCTCCAGGGCGAAAGCCCAAGGCGTGCTGTGCCACCGAGTGCTGCCCTGGATCCATGCTCCCTGGACGGGGGTCTTCCTGCCTCTGACTTAGAGAACTGCTTTAGATCCCCTTGCAAGGGTAGTGAAAGAAACACTTAGCAATCAGAGGCTTGCCAAGGGCTTTCTGAAATGTTATCCTGCTACAAAATAACCAGTCCCGCTATTGGAGTATTTTACACCCCCATCTACAGATGAAAATACTGAGACTCAGAGAGGGGCAGGGACTTGCCTATGCCCCACAGCTGGGGCGTGAACCCACACCCAACACCTGTCCCATCACCGTCTTCTCTGCCTCAGTCCCCCTTTCTCTGATGAAGGGATCTTTGAAACCTAAGTCTGTGTTAACCACCACTCAAAATTTGCACTTTAATGAAGCAATAATAAAAGCCCTTCACCAGGCTCTCCCTGGGTTCTGAAAGACTGAGAGCCAAGAGCCTGAGGAAGTGGCCAAGAGGATGTAATTTGCCAGGCAAAGAAATTAAATTCTTACATCTTCTGTGAGAGATTTCAGAGCTGTATGTGGGGGAGCACAGCCCATTCTTCTTAACTATTTTTATATTTAAATTTCAACAGTAATACGTGTGCATGAGAGAAAGAGAAAAGAATGCCATCAATATAAAACCATTGAAAATTTAAAATGTCTCGGGGTGCCTGGCTGGCTCATTCGGTAGAGCATGTGACTCTTGATCTCAGGATTGTGAGTTCAAGCCCCACATTGGGCATAGAGACTACTTAAAAAACTTTTGTGTGTGTGTGTCTCCATCACCCCTTCCCAATCCTATTCCCTGGAGGTGATCAGCTTTAACAGTCAGATATGTATCTTGTGAACTTTGCTATGTAAATAGAGTCCTCGAGAGTATGTCTGGGCTTGTTTACCTCTAAAAATATATATTTTTAACACAGTTGGGATTGTTTTAATACTTGCTGTTCTATAACTTATTAGGCTCTCTTGGATCTCTCCATGTCAGTACGTATAGATTTACCTCACTCTTTGGCAAGTCTGTGAAGGCATCCCTCAGTACGGATGCCCCCAACTTTATTTTACGGTCTCCTTTAAACGCTTGGCTTCTTCCTGCTTTTTCCCTCTTTTAATATTTCCACACTTCTGCTAGTCTTCTCTTTCTCCTTTACCTTCTTCATCTTCCTCTAAAACCATCCTGTCTTCAATTTCAAGCTGCTCTGATTTGTGAAAAAAAAATTGATCTTTAAATTTTTTTTTGTTTTGAAATATTTCAAATGTGGAGAAAAGTTGCAAAAACAGTATAAAGAGCTTCAGCTAGAAATCCTAATTGTTAGTATTTTGCCACATCTGCTCTCTTTCTTGGTCGGTTTGTCTCTTCCTTCCTACCTATTTAACAAGTGAATATATGGCACTTACTTTTTCTGACCTATTTGAGAGTAAGTTGCAGAAAGCGAGACCTTTTACGTCTAAATACTTCAGCATCTTTCTCTCAAGAACAAAGACAATCTCTTACATAACTACCGTGTCACTATTAAGCTCAGGAAATTTAATGTTGATGTAACACTATTATCTAATATACAGTCCATATTCAAATGTTGCTAGTTGTGCCCACAAAGTTCTTTTTTTAAAAGATTTTATTTATTTATTTATTTATTCATTCATTCATTCATTCATTCATTCAAGAGAGAGCGCGCGCACATGAGAAGGGGGGAGGGTCAGAGGGAGAAGCAGACTCCCCGCCGAGCAGGGAGCCTGATGCGGGACTCGATCCCGGGACTCCAGGATCATGACCTGAGCCGAAGGCAGTCGCTTAAGCAACTGAGCCACCCAGGCGCCCGCCCACAAAGTTCTTAACGGTGTTTGGTGTGTTTTTTGTTTCCTTTTTTTTTTTTTTTTTTAAGACTTTATTCATGTATTTGAGAGATAATGAGAGAGAGAGCATGAAGAGGGGTAAGGGTCAGAGGGAGAAGCAGACTCCCTGCCGAGCAGGGAGGGAGCCTGCTAGAATTCCTGATTTAATCTGGAATTTATTCCTTAGGCTTTTAAAACAACAATAACAAAAAAATACTTTAAAAGAGAGAGAGAGAGATTTATTTATTTGTCAGAGAGAGAAAGCGAGAGTGAACAGCACAAGCAGGGCGAACAGCGGGGCTCGATCCTAGGACCCTGGGATCATGACCTGAGCTGAAGGCAGACGCTTAACGCAGTACCTTAACCGACTGAGCCACCCCGGAGTCCCCATGAGTTTTCCCTTCTGAATCATGAGGTGCTGGACCAGCTAGTTGTCTAGATTCTAGTGTCTAGGACTGTCCTCAGATTTGCCTTGGGTTGGCTCAGCACGGCCGACATGGGCTCGTTCCTCTTTCCTCCCCGTCTGATGGTTGGGGCCCCCCCAGCCCCAGCTTCAGTGCTTTGGGAAGATGGCAACAGCCCCTCTCTTGTCCTGACCACAAAGAGCCTTTGTTACCAGAGCCTGCTCTTAGCTTTTCTAGGGCTTTGGTCACCTTGCTCTTCCCAAGCCAGGACAGTCAGTGACAAGTCTTGCAAAGAGCTTGCACCCATGAGCTGTGCCCCGCTGTCCCTCCCTGCTCCTTCATTATGGGCAGAGCCAGAGAATTGGAGAAGAGAATGTGCTCTCAGAACTGCTGCCTGATCTCAAAGCCATCTTCAGGGTCACAGGCGGTGGGAAAGCTCTTTCTCAGAACCCAGTTCAGAGGTCTGCACAGGTCTCTGGCGAACCCTTCCTTTGCCCTACACCCCGTTGATTATTTTCATTTTAGATCAAGGGGAAAATTATGTTGAACAGTGCCTGGACTCCAGACTGGGTTTGTCCTATTTTTGCATGGAGGCAGGACTTGAACCCAGCTCCCCTTTTTAGCTGAGTGCTTTCTCTGAATCTCTGTTCTTTCCTGTCAAATGGGATAACAGCTATCTACCAGGTTATAGCAAAGATTACATGAGAGTCTATAAAGGAAACTGGATACTTAATAAATGGTAATTCTCCCCTCCTAGGCATCTTACGTTCCCATGTTCCCTCCAGCCAAACCCAGTGCCCCTGTGAGCTGAGGAGAGGTAGCTACTGGGAGCAAAGCGCTAGAACTAATTTATGGTTGGGGTGATAACTGATAGTCCCTTCTTGTGGGATCCCTCAAGGGTATTTGCATTTTGTTTTTAAAGATTTATTTATTTATTTATTTATTTGAGAGAGAATGAGAGAGAGAGCATGAGAGGGGGGAGGGTCAGAGGGAGAAGCAGATTCCCTGCTGAGCAGGGAGCCCGATATGGGACTTGATCCTGGGACTCCAGGATCATGACTTGACCCAAAGGCAGTCGCTTAACCAACTGAGCCACCCAGGTGCCCCAAGGGTATTTGCATTTTAAGAGCAGAGGAATGGCTGTACCTTCTTACTGAACCAATAGGTTTTGCTGCAGTAGGTTTTGGAAGGAGGCAAGATTTTCTCCACATAAGTCGGGGGAGTGGAAAGACTGGTGCGTAAGAGGCTCAGGTGCCATCCCTGTTCTGCTGCTAACTTAAGAGACGCAGCAGGTTGTTTCTCCTACAGAGCAGACCAACTCCAAGTTCCAATACCGGTACCAAGTATTTACCTCCCTGCAAATTGTCCGCCTTGCTGGAATTAAGACTCCTGGGGGACACAAGGGGAAAGCCCTGCTTTCTGTTTGGCTCAAGCCTTTTTAGGGGGCTCCTGTGTGGGGCCTGGCTGCCAATCTTGGTGTCACCCTCACGGGAAGAAGATTTTACTTCTGTCCCTTTCCCATCACCCTATATTGATCCAGATCCATTTCCAGAACCTTCCTGAATTTGTCTTTTTTTTTTTTTTTTCCCCTTCCACAAGGACCGAGGAAGCAGAGGGCATTTTGGATCCCCAGGAATCGGACAAGTTAAACTTTAATGAGAAGTGCATTCGGAGCCCACTACTTACCCAACTCTGGGTGACAGCGGTTCTCGGGTCCCTCTCAGGTTAGGAGCTGGTAGAGCCCAGCACCAGGGGGAACAACTGGGCGGCTGGCTGGACGGCTGGGGTGTGCTGCTGGGTCACGCTGGGGAACAGAACATCTGGCACGGTAGCTAAAGCAAACAGTGATGCTAGATGCAGGCTTGTCGGTGAAGCCAAGGTCTGGACGGGCCTGGGGCGGCTGGGTCAGGTCCTTCCGGTTTCCAGCCCAGCCTGCTCTGTTGGCTCTAAGAAAAATCTTGTTCCTGTAAGTCACAGCTCTGTCCTGCCCGAGTGGGACAGCTTAGTATTATTTCTTGGAAACTGAGTTTCTCTTTAAGAAGATACAAGTGCTGGCCAGCTGGAGAGCATCTGGAGCGAGAATTGAGCTGCCTGGATTTGCCTCACTTACTTAACCACTAACTCAGGCCGGCTGTGGCCTGGCCTCGTGCTGAGTGCTAAGGCCACGGAGGTAAACGCGACACGGTCTTCTCCCGCGGGAATTCCCACTTAGTGCGGGAGTTCCCCAAGCAGAATCTCCCAAGCTAGGTGGAAGCTTCTGTGCTCCTGGTTGTGGTGTTTGCATGAATCACAAAGAGGTTAGGGTAATGGATTGAATTGTTCCTCAGTTTTGTTTTTTGTTTTATTTTTTAATATCTTAGCTTTTTTTTTTTAAGATCTTATTTATTTATTTGCCAGAGAGAGAGAGGGAGAACACAAGCAGGGGGAGTGGCAGGCAGAGGGAGAAGCAGGCTCCCCACTAAGCAAGGAGCCCGATGTGGGACTCGATCCCAGAACCGTGAGACCATGACCTGAGCCGAAGGCAGACGCTCAACCATCTGAGCTACCCAGGTGCCCCGAATTGTTCCTCAGTTTTAACCCTCCTCCTTGGGTGTTAGCCTCCCATGTTTGGCGCAAGCTCCAGCTTGTCTGCTCTGCACACTCGTATCAGAGTGCGCCGGATTGCCGGCAGTCCCATTCAGTGAGTTGTTGGGAAGTACGGGAAGTACGGATCTGATGCTTCCTAGCTCCCGGGGCCTTGCCCCTAGGACAGATCTGATCTGGAGGCCGCAGACAGGCCTCAACTGGAATGCGCTGTGATCGGTGCAGGGTGCTAGATGTGGGAGCAAAATGCTGGGTCTTCATTTTGCCCTGCCACCAACTAGGTGTGTGACTTTGGGCAACTTGCTTCTCCTCCCTGGGCCTTCTTTCTAGTTTACAGATGAGGGTCCTAGACTAATAATTAATAACTATTGTTGTCATGGCCACAACTTATTGAGCACTTAATTAATGCTAGGGACTTTAGATGTATCATCCCATTTGGTCCTCACGTCCACCCTGTGATAAGTCCGACTGATCCCCATTTTACCGATGAGGACGCTGGGGGCTCAGAGGGAGGAAAGGGCTTGTGTGAGGTCACGTTACTGGTGGGTGGTGCGGCAGCCTTTTGCTGCCTGACAGGACCGGGTCAGGGCTGACGGTGGGCCTTGGGCAACTCTGAGAATTCGTCCTGGCAGGCACGGAGGACGTGCGTATTGACGAGAGGACCGTCAGCCCCTTCCTGCAACTGTCAGATGATCGAAGGACCCTGACCTTCAATGCCAAGAAGTCCAAGGCCTGTGCAGATGCCCCCGAGCGCTTTGACCACTGGCCCAATGCCCTCGCGGCCACCTCCTTCCAGGCTGGGCTGCACACCTGGATGGTGAACGTCCAGAACAGTTGTGCCTATAAGGTGGGCGTGGCCCTGGGCCAGCTGCCCCGCAAGGGCTCCGGCAGTGACTCTCGTCTGGGCCACAACACCTTCTCCTGGGTCTTCTCCCGCTACGACCAGGAGTTCCGTTTCTCCCACGACGGGCAGCACGAGCCCCTGGGGCTGCTGCGCTGCCCCACCCAGCTGGGCGTGCTTCTAGACTTGCAGGCGCAGGAACTGCTCTTCTACGAGCCGGCCTCGGGCACGGTGCTCCACGCCCACCACGTGCCCTTTTCGGGGCCCCTCTTCCCGGTCTTTGCGGTGGCCGACCAGACCATTTCCATCATCCGCTGATCCGCGACCACCGGGAGCCCCGGTCTGCTCCCCACCACGCGTCCAGGCCATGTTCCTACCCAGTGTCTCCCCCCCACCCCCGATGTTGCCTCTGCCTGATGGGCAGCTTTAGGAGGGTGGGGGATCCATTTCAGGTCTGGGTTCAGCCGTGACATGCTGGGTATCTGTGGGGAGCCTGCTACCCGCGGGGCCTTAGTCTCCCAAATCCACCAGGCATCTGGCCCTCCGTGGGTGTCTTGTTCACCACATCGTGTCTGGCACCCAGCATGGTGCCTGGTGCCCGGTTGTGCAAGAAATACTTGGCGAGCGAACGGGTGGATGGAAAGGTGCCTAGGTGTGTGTGGTAGACTCTTCTGGAAAAGCACTGCCTTCCAGCCCTGTCCCTGGCTTTGATTCAGAACTCCTGCGAGGCTCTTCTTGGCCAGAAGACTCTGGCCTGGGGGGGGCTGTGTCCCCCCACCAGGTCCAGCCTGGCGGCTCAGGAGACTGAGGGGATCCTGTCCGGAGGAAACCTGACTGCAACACCCCCAAAACTGCCCCCTCCCCGCAGCTCGTGGCCCCCCCCCCGACATAATGTGGAGACCCGGAGTGAGGGCCTCAAGCCCCAGAGAGCTGAGGGAGTAGGAGGGCCAGACGTAGGGAACACGTCTGTTATTAAAGGTTTTAGAAGACTGAAAAGTTTCTTCCATGTTCTTTGTGGGAAATTGGGCACATCCCCCAAGTGCCAGCTCACATCTAAAGAGGTACGCCTGCTAGGAAAGAGATCTTCCTCACCCTCATGCGCACGCCCGGCTCAGCGCACACAGCCACTCGAGCCCCGAGACGGCTCTGGGCCCTGCATTGCTGGAACCCCGGGCCGAGTCCCTTCCTGTTCTCTGAGGTCACATCAGAACAGTGGTGCTCACATTCCTGTTTTATTTAGGAACACAGTTCAGAGGCAATCTTACCTACAACTTCAGGCCCCTGGGCTCAAAGATGGGGGCCAGAGCCCTCCCCACTCTTAAGTTTGCTCAATAATTTACTCCAAACACTGGGTAGATCAGATCCAGTCCACAGATCGAATGGCAACTTTTTCGGTTCAGGTACTTCTGAGGCCCTTGCAGCTCTGAGAGTACAGCTCAACCCACGTCCTCACTGCCTGATACTTGGGAATTAATGTCACCTGGGCTTCGTACCAACCTGGAAGTTTGGCCAAGTCTGAGAAGAGCCTCCCTCCCCTCACATGGGCACAATCTCTGCCCAGAATCCTGGGTCAGAGCCCACCTTTTCAACCCAGCACCCGAAGGCACCCCCCACACCATGCCCCCAAATTGCCAATCTAACTCTCCATGGCAGCCCTCGGTCCGTAGTTCATGGGCCACCTGCCAGGAAGGCATCTTACTCCTCTGCCCACCTAAATGTCACCGCAGTTCGGGGCCACTCGGGAGCCCTCCCCAGCAGCTGGCACCAGAACCTAACACCGTGTGTGTGCCTGGCAGTAGGCAAGGAATACAAGCGTCTGGTAAGTACCAAGCAGGTGTGAGAGGAGTGTGAAGAGGGGAGAGGCAGGAAGGGACATGGAATTTTTAAAACCCAGCCTACTTCCTTCAGTCTCTAGTCATTCCCCGCATGTGTCCTACACTCCTGCCACCTCAAGCTCCTGTCCCCGTTCCCTGTGCTCTCCTACCTCCATGCTAACACCTGTGACTCGGGTGCTCTTCAAAACCGGCCTCCTGTGGAACAGCCTCCCTGTTCTCCCACGATCACCACTGCACCGTCTCAAGGGCCACAACTCTCCTTGCAACGTCAGGCAGGCTACTTAACTTCTGAACGTTTCTCATTTGTAAAGTGCACGTCCCGCTACCTCTGCCCATTAGCTAGCTTTGAGGGTTCTATCTGCATGTAAAGGACTAACAACACATGGCAAGCATGAAAGAAGTTTCTTCTCATGATGTAATTTGGGTGCTCCTTCTCTGAGATCCTATTTACACTATATAGTCCTAGAGGACATGTCCCTACAGCACAGCTTAGCACCCCAGTTTTCCAAACTAAGCTCCTCCGATCTCCTGCTTCCCACAGGGAGTCATAGAGGCTTCAGGGCCCGACTGTGGGGCTAACCTGTTTCAACCCTAGAAGTTTCTTGCTTTTGCTGTTTTGCACATTGGGGTTCCAGTAAGATCTCCCATAACAATAGGGCCCTGCTGCTAAAACAAATTTTTGAATGTGCCCGGTTCTGAAGCTAGTTGGGCCCTCAGTGAATCTTGTAGGTGGGGGTGGGGGGTGGGGTGGGGAAAGACACAGGTGTGACAAATAAATCACCTGAGAGGCGTGGAGACGGGCTCAAAGCCCTGCATTCACCGCTTTATAGTCAGAACGCATGTGGACGCCGCAGGGAGAGAGGCAAAGGCCTGATCTCAGAAAGGAAGGAGCTTTCTAGTTGGCTGGAGCCACTCCCCTCGACTTCCCTCGACTTCCCTCGTCAGACTCAAAGTTCCAGAGGTGAGCCCTCCAGGCGGTCAAGGGCAGGCAGGAGATGGGACAGTGAGGGGAGGAGGCATTCTTGGGGTACAGAACCCTTGACCGCAGGGTCTAAGGGCTCTGGGCCAACCACCAGGAAGCTGTGCATCCCTACAGCCTGGGCCCCCTTGTAATCACAGTGGTAACTGTCCCCAATGTGGGCTGCTCCTGCCGGGTCCACTCGAGCAAGCCGCAAGGCCTCGCGGAAAATCCGGGGGTCAGGCTTGGGCCAGCCGGCAGCCTCAGAGGTCAGCACAAAGTCAAAGTGTTCCCGCAGGCCCAGCCCCCTCAGGATGTCCTCCAGCCGCCGGTCAAAGTTGGAGACCACTGCCAGCCTCACACCTCGTTCTCGGCACCGTCTCAGGGTGGCCTCGGCCCCCTCCAACAGCTGCCAGGTGCACGGCTTACAGAAGTCCTCGTACAGCCGCTCAGCGATGGGGGCCACAGCCTGCGCGTCTCGAACACCCGCGAGCTGGAAGGTGTGCAAGACCACATCCAGCCACCACCGGCGGGAGGTGAGGCCTTGGCTCAGGCCGTAGTTGGGGAAGCTGTGGCTCTGAGTCCTGTAGGCCTGCCTGAAGGCGTGTCCCAGAGCGGCGGCCTCCACCTCCAGCCCGTGGGCCCGGGCCCTGGTGGCGTATTCCTCTCCCACAGGATGGCGGAGCCTGAGCAGTGTGTCCTTCACGTCCCATGTCAGCAGTCGTATCTGCAGCCGATGCGCCATGGGCCTGTCGGAGGGGGGCAAGTGCACCCTAAGTCCACCAGGGGTTAAAGAGAAACTGAGCCGGACAAGACCCCCCCCCCCCCCCGCCACAACCTAAAGGTCTTCTCTCTCCGGGCCTTGTGGGCCAGAGTTGTGGCACGTCCTCACAGCAGAAGATCCTGGAATGAGACGGCAGTGAGGTAGAAGTTCAGACCTTGGGGTCAGAGCCAGACTGGGTTCAAATTCTGGCACTTCCCACTTACTGTGTGACCCTAGGAGTGTCACTCTCTGAATCTCTGTCTCCTGACTGAAGAGGAGCACGATGTGCCAACCTCACGAGACTGTTGCATGAAATGAGATCATCCGTTCATTCCACAAATTTCTGGGCACCTACTATGTGCTAGATGCTAGGGAACAGGATAGGTTTCCAGCCCTCCTGGCATTTACAGGCTTTAAAGAATACGAGACACAGATATTAGACAAAGAACTATACAAACACTGAAGTATAACAAAGTCAGCATGTGCCATAAGGATATACACCCAGGGATCCCATCTGTGTTGAACTTCCTAAGTAAGTCAAGTTTTGGGGGAGATCTGAAGAATGACTATGCAGGAAATGGAGGTGGTTAAGTGTTCCTGGCACTGGAAACACCAAGTGCAAAGGCCCGAGGTAGGTCAACGGCAAGTCTGCTGCTTTGGGTAGACAGGGCCCACTGTGGCAGGGCCTTGTAGGTCAAGGTAAGGAAACAATTATGATTGCTATTACTATTGTTAACAATACCAAAGACACAGGGTCCTTGCAGACCATGTGACAGACCCCTTGTTTATCAGGGAAGACTGAGTCAGAGAGGAGCAGATACTAGCCTAAGGTACACAGCCAGCACCAGAACCCAAACTTCCAGACTCTGGCCAGTGCTCCCTTCTACTGCATCATGCTTAGACAAATTTGGATTTTAAAACAATCTGATTTGGGTGAATCGGCACAGCACAGAGCCAAAGGCAGACAGAACCAGGTCCTGTCTCTAAGCCTCTGATGCGTCTTTACTGGCGGTAACAAGGTCTGCCTAGGTGGGGAGCCAGTAAAAGGATTACTGACTCCATGCCCAAGAAGCGAGTCCTCAGCCTGCTGTCGGGAGGCTGGGTGCAGCTTCTTGCCCCACACAGTCGATTCCAGACAATCCCAGGTGGTCTGGGGGAAACCTGAGGGTCCAGAGTTTCAGAGTACAGCCAAGTTGCTGCTGAGGAAGGGCAGTGGCTGGCGAAGCCGGGGGCAAGCCGTAGCGGAAGTCTGACAAGGAAATGAATTTAAGTCAATCTGGAAATTAGGGAGAGCCATCCAAAAACCCTCCCACTTTACTGGTGGGTACATGGAGGCCCAGTGAGGGGCGGGAACTCGCGCAAAGCCACGCCGGGAGTCACGGGCCCGGCTAAGACTAGAACAAAGAGCTCTGGCTCCCGACCCACAGCGTCTTCCATTTCTGGAAGCCGGGGCTGAGGCCTCTGGGCTGCAAGCCTGAATTTCTCGGCCTTCCTCCTCACCTCCAGGGCTCGATGGGGACAAAGTCCAGGTAGCCCGCTGTTAGAGCGAGATCTCCACGGCTGCCATTTGCAGCGTGACCTTGGGCGTGACGTGGCTGCGGCCGGCCTCCTGGGGGCCCCTTCCCAGCTCCGGCGCGCTCCGACCGCTCGGGGCGGACCCCCGGTCCCCAGCCTCCCGGGATCCAGACACAGCGGACCCGGACGGAGGCCAGTCCTTAGGAAGCCCGGCAGCCAGCCACCTCCGGAGAGCTGCGCAGGCGCTCTGCGGCCCCCACGGAGCTGGGGACCCGCCTCCTCACGCCCCACCCCCTGGCCCCGCCCCCGGCCCTCTGCCCGCCCCTCTCCTCCGCCCGCGGTTCCCCCCACCTCTCCCCTGCCATAGTCCTCTCCGCTCCCTCCCGTCGCACCCTCACCTGCCTCCCCGCCCCCGGCGCCCTCGGTCACCCGGCTGCCCCTTCCTTTCCGTCTCCCTCTCATTACCCGTCCCGCCCCCTCCGCCCCGCTCCCCGCATCTCTGGGTCACCTTGCACACTCTCCTCCCTTTCTGCCTGCCCGCCCTCGCCGACTTCTCCCCCTTTGGGCGCTTTCTCTCTCCTCCACTTCTCGCAGACCCCTCCGCCTTGCTCGGATCCAGACACTCCCGGGAGGTCTCCAGGCTGACTTGGGAAGAGGGGGATCTGGGTCCCGGCCTGGCTTGCTGAGTGCTGTGTGGACTTGGGCCAGGCGCTGCCCCTCTCTGGTTTGAGTCTCCAGTCGGTACTAGGAAGGAATTGCTTTCATTTGGAAACTTGTCTAACCCAAGACATTCTGCTGAGGGTAGAGTCCTCTGCAGTAACCTAGCTGGGTTTTTTTTTTTTTCTTTTGATGTAAAAATAATCATCTTCAAAAATGTTTTAAAATACAAAGTGTTCAAAGTAGAAAGCGAAAGCCAATCTCACTCACTTCTCATTGAGCATCGGTCTGCTCTGTGCCTGACGGTGCGAAAAAAGACAGGATTCCTGCCTTCACGGAACCCGGGTGGGGCAGACACAGACCAAGTAAATACACAAGCTTTCAGGTAGTGATGAGTGTTATAAAGGCAATAAAATCAGAACGGCGCCATGAGCAGTGCCAGGGCCTCTCTGGATGAAGTTAGGGGAGGGGCAAAGATCTGAACAGCCAGGTGAAGATTAAGGGACGGGTACTGAAGGTGAGCCACTGGCAAAAGCAAATTGAGCAAGGGCAGTGGCCCCTGGAGGTGGGGAGACCAGGAGGACCTCCGGCCCCCCACGCACTCCCCAGGGGTTGTGGCAGTGGGGCTTTGGGTCATTATGCTATTTTCCTAGGAGCACACAAACATGCATATATTTTCTTCCTTCTTCCCCTCCCCTCTCCCTTCTTTTTAAACAAATCTTCCTCCTATATTCTAAGACTGGCCTGTTCATTTCATTCAGAACCACCTCCTCCTCATTGGACCCAGGCCTGGGAGAAATACAAAGTGCGGAGCCACAGACCTAGGCCAGCAAGGGAGAGCTTGATTCCAAAATTCATTACAAGCAGGATTCCTACAAGTGGGAGTGGAAAGGGTGAGTGGGAGGTCAGAGGTCCAGCTGTGATTCACAGAAGCCCAGAAGGTTTGAGATGGTTCAGGTTCCAGGGTCACCTAAAACCCAGCTCCTCAGGTTCTGGTCCCAGCTCTGCCACCTGGCTCTCTGTGAACCCTTCACTGAATTCTTTTCCTCTCTGGGCCTCAGTCTCCAATCTGCAAAATGGGGAGACTGAACAAGATAACTTCCAGCTGAAGTCCAGGCCAGCTTCTAAGTTAATTTCCAAGGTAATTAACTTTGTCGGCGGGACCTGAGTTCCTCCATGTACAAATAGAGCATGCTTACATCAAGATTAAGTGAGAGCACAGAAAAAGCTCTTTGAGAAGTAGAGGATTCTTTTTTTTTTTTAAAGATTTTATTTATTTACTTGAGAAAGATAGCAGACAGAGGGAGAAGGAGAAGCAGACCCCTGCTGAGCAGGGAGCCAGCCTCGGGGCTGGATCCCAGGACCCCGGGATCAGGACCTGAGCCCAAGGCAGACGCTTAACTGGCTGAGCCACCCAGGTACCCCAGATGATTCTTTTTTTTTTAAGATTTTATTTATTTATTTGAGAGAGAGAGAATGAGAGACAGAGAGCACGAGAGGGAAGAGGGCAGAGGGAGAAGCAGACCCCCTGCTGAGCAGGGAGCCCGATATGGGACTCGATCCCGGGACTCCAGGATCATGACCTGAGCCGAAGGTAGTCGCTTAACCAACTGAGCCACCCAGGCGCCCCCCAGATGATTCTTTAAAAAAAAAATTTTAGGGGCACCTGGCTGGCTCAGTCAGTAGAGCATGGGACTCTTGATCTCGGGGTCGCAACTTTGAGCCCCACATTGAGCATAGGGATTACTTAAAAAATAGTAATAAAAAAATGCTTTGAGTATAGCTGACACACGGTTACATTAGTTTCAGGTGTACGACATAGTGATTCAACCTCTGCAGACACTCTGCTCACAAGCGTAGCTACCGTCGGTCACCGCCCAACAGTATATACAGTATTGACGTATTCTCCGCGCTGTCACTTTCATCCCTGTGACTTACTCCACACCTGGAAGCCTGCCATCTCCCACTCCCCTGCACCTGTGTTGCCCATCCGTCCACCCCCTGGAAGATGATTCTTTTCACATAGTTGAGTCTCCTGAGAGGTTAAGGGCTTTGTTTGGTCCCATGACTATTTCAACCCCAGGCACCTGTTGCACACGGCAGGCAAGTCCATTATAATCTACGTGAGTGTGCCCTCTGGAGGTGTGGCCCTGATTTGACTGTTTGCCCTTTAGGTTCTGTCTCTTCGAATAACTTTTCAGCAGAGATTTAAAAAAAAAAAAAAAAGCCTTGAGTGTCACAGGAAAGCCAGTGACAGGTCCCCACTATTCGGAAAACAAACTTCTTTTTGATTTGCCAGTTCAAAAATGGGTACACTTGGGGCCAGGTCAGGATTCCTCCTTTCCTAGTTGGGAAATTGGTAGTAAAGTGGCTGGTTAAAATGCCTGTTTGTTGGGACCCTCAACCGTATGCCCACTGAGGTTGTAGTGAAAAACTGGTGGAACTTAACAGCTATTTGTTGTGGCTTCGGGAAGGTCCTACAAGAAACAGACGAGCTACCATATAAGCAGGCACATCGGAGGGAAATAAAGTCAAGACTCACTGAGAGGCCCTGCATGCCCACCAGTTGTCTGCAATGCTTGGAAGTCTGAGGCCGTGCCTTGCCAATTGTGGAAGCTGCGTTCTCTCTGCACCAGGATAAAATTACCACTAGTGAGAGGAGAGCATGCAGCAGGAGACGGGCCGTGGAGCTAGAGCCCCCAGCACCACCCAAAGCCTCCCAGCTCGCCTGCTTGGCCATTCTCTGTACACAAAACCTAGCTGCGCTGGAGCAGATACTGAGCGGGCACCTCCGGTGACAAATCGACTCCAGAGGGCGCCACTTCACACAGGCCACCATGCCTGAGGCAATGCAGCCCTTGGCCTGCGCCATTGTAATAGCATCATGTTCGATCCCGAATTTGGCTACTGTTTACTGGGAGATGGTGTGGCACAGTGGTCCAGGGTAGAGGCCTTGGAGTTGAACTATGTGGGTTCCAATCCTGTCTCTGATGGTTCAGGGACAGGGTTCTAAACCCAGTTCTGCCACAAACTAGTAGAACGGCCTTAGGTGAGTCGTAAGCTCTCTAGATACTCCCTCATTGCAAACCCAAGCTAAATTTAGGACTCCCGCTCGACCCTCCCTTCTAAGCTTTCCCATCCTAGTCAATGTCCCACCAGCCACCAAGAGCTCAAGCCACGTTCATCCTTCCCAGCTAATCTACCTCCTCCAACCCCACTGTCACCAATCCAGTCCAGGTTACACATTTTCCCATCTGCACTTTGCCAGTGCTCTCAAATGTTTTCATAAAATGCAAAATCAGAGCGAGTCGTTCGCTGCTTAAAATCCTTCAAATGGCTTTCCTTTCTCTTGCAATAAAGTCTGGGAAGACTCCCCATCTTCCATAAACATGGCTTTCGAGCCCTGCACGGTTTGGGCCTGGTCTCTCTCCCTTTCCAGTTCAGGCCATCTCTTCTTTCGTCCTCCACCCTGCTCCAGCCACACCTGCTTTGTGTTCTAGCTCATTCTAGAGGCAGAGTTCCCTCTGCCAGGAATGCTCTTTGCTTGGCTGCTCATCCCTCCGGTCTAGGCTTAAATGTCAGCCTCTCACGGAAGTGTTTTCTGATCCTTCAAACCCGGTCAGGTCCTGGTGGCCTCCCTCATAGCACCTGTCACAACATCCCTGGAGACACATCTGCCTCCTAGTTCTCCTCAGTCCACTTAACGTTGACTTCTGGAGGTTCTGGACACACATAATTTTTGCCTCCCGTGGGGTTTATACCTAAAGAGCAGTGTCTGTCTCCTGTCTCTCTAGGCCTACAAGAACCGGGCCTCCTATTAGCTTGGCAATGATGAGTCTGGGATGCCCCTGAAGAACCTTCCTTTCCACACTAACCAGAAATGAGCTCAGGGACTGGGACCAAGGGGCCGGGAGACAAGAAGTCAATATGGCCAAAGTTCTGGTCTGGTCAGAACCCTGAGGCCCATCAGTGGCTCATCTTTAATTAGTGCTTCAGGCCTCTAGCGGGGGGCATGGTGGTGGTGGTGGGGAATTCCAGGCTCAGACTCCTTGGAAGGTGAAGCTATATGCCTCTTCAAGCCCTGATTTTGGCTGGCTACCTCCCCAAATGCTAAGGACAGAGTGAGATCAGGTCAGCTGCAGCTCTATGGAAGACAACTGGGAGCCGGAGGGGACTGGCCTGACTACAGGAGCCGCCGGGAGTTTATAATTCTACATTTTTTTTTTAAAAGATTTTATTATTTATTTGACAGAGACACAGCGAGAGAGGGAACACAAGCAGGGGGAGTGGGACAGGGAGAAGCAGGCTTCCCTCAGAGCAGGGAGCCCGATGTGGGGCTCGATCCCAGGACTCTGGGATCATGACCTGAGCCAAAGGCAGATGCCTAATGACTGAGCCACCCAGGCGCCCCTATAATTCTACATTTTAAAATGGATTGTAGGGGTGCCTGGGTGGCTCAGATGGTTAAGCGTCTGCCTTCGGCTCAGGTCATGATCCCAGGGTCCTGGGATCGAGTCCCACATCGGGCTCTCTGCTCCTTGGGAGCCTGCTTCTCCCTCTGCCTCTCTCGCTCTGTCTCTCATGAATAAATAAATAAAATCTTAAAAA